TATTAAGTAATATATTTTTGATTTATTCAATGAAAATGATATTCAACTCTATAACTTTTTAGGATGAATATTTTAACAACACTTAATTATTTCAAAATTCAAATTAAAAAAGAGTTCTCAAATCATGAAAAATGGTGTTTATACTACTGTAAGTAAATTTCCATGATATATTCAATAATTTTAATAAATTTTCGCTAAAGTTAATAAAATAAATAATTAGCGGTAATTAAATTAACAATATTTTAAAGTTCATTTTAATATCAAAATTATAGCTATATTTGATTAATTATTAACTTTAGAGAATTAAAATTTACTTTTGAGTGAACAATATATAGTTTCCATTTGGAAAGCCTTTTACATAATCAAATCCTTAATTTGGCTTATTATAATTTTATTTAACTCCTGTTCTTATATTCTATCAGCTGTAACCAGACAATATAATTTAACTTTGAATTCAATATCAATTGCTTCTTTTAAAAAAATTTAATTTAGATTTCTTATCCAGAAATAATATTACAATGAAATCTTTAAATAACTTGATCAAAAAAAATTGATTTCTCTAAATCTGAATCTCAAATATGAGGAATTTCTATTTTGTAATAAATTATGTCTTTATTTAATTCTTTTTTTTTCTATTTCAAAACTTTTTCATTTTCTTTTCGATCAAATGATTGGATAAAGAATTAATTAGTATTTTTAATTTAAAAAATTTTATTTTTGAAACTATAATTCTAGCAAACTAAATCATTATTTTTATAAATTAAAGAGAAGCTGATATTTCTTTGTAATAATTTATTATTCTATTAATTTAGTCAGCTCAATCTCTTGTAAAAACAACAGCAAGTTTCTTTCAAAAAATAACAAAATTTCATTTTGTTTTGAACTTAGCAAATGTTAATTAAAAAAATCTTAAACTTATTCTATATTGATAAAATATCTGTTTTTATTTTTAAGTTTCATTATTTTCAATTACTCTAGGTATTACTAAGATTTAAATATATTCTCAATCATATTAAACAATGTTGTTTGTTAATTTTTTTCATACTAAATATAATATTCACTCTACTATGAAGGTACCTAAATTAACTCAGTTCAAAAACAGTAACTTCAATATAATCAAATTATCGATTCTTTTCAAGAATATTTGTTATCTCTATCTTTTCTCTTCCAAAAAATATGACATTTGAATCATATTGAAATAAATTAATGTTTGTTGAAACAACTTAAATATTTTATTATCTGTTTCTAATTAATATAAAATTTAGTAACTAAATTTCTTATCATATTCAAATATGATATTAGATTACTTTTCTAATTATTTTAAAAATGATTTAAAAACTTATAAAATTACGTTTAATCCAAAAAAAACATTTTTTGTTCATTTTAAATATAAATTCTTTTATATAATTATCGTAAAACTATTTTATACTATTCTAAGCTCATTTATTCTTTCATTCGAAAAACTGCCATAAATCTTCAGTTTCAAAATCTTTTTCATTGTAAGATTAATGAAGGTAAAAATTATTCATATATTTGTTGAAATAAAATCACATTATTTTTTTATGTGGAATGGTATTAAATTTCTATAAAGAATTGGAGAGGGTATCCATGATTATTACAGATTTAATTGAGTTGAGACTAAGATAGTTATAGGATTCGATTTTTAAATTTATAATTCTTATTATGATTCATTTGGGTCTGCAATGGCTTTGGTTAATTAATCAAATTACCATCTTGGGTTATTTACTTAATAAAACATATCCATCACTTCAATAAATTAATGAGATAATTCCATTCTGATCTTAAGACAACAGACCGAGTAGCTAATTTATTAACTTTTTTCATCTCTTGAACATTTATCGTATTATTTAAAGCAGAATCTTATGATAAAAAAACATCGAGTACTCTTCAATTTCACTTTTAGTCCTATATATATGCAATAAATAATGAACTATTAATTTAGCAAAGTTAATTTAATTACATGTAAAACAGTTTTTTGATGTTATTCTAACAAGATATATTCACTTTAAGTTCTTCCATCAGATGAAAACTTCTTCAAATTAACATCTGTTTATCATAGCATCCATTTAAGTAACAAAGAATTCATAATTTATTGCAATTAAATCTGCTTGATAGTTTTTAACTTAATAATTAATCTTCTTGTATTTTCAGTAACTTTCATAGATTCTCAAATCTTAAAATAACAGGAGAATATAATTAGAAAAAAAAACCCTCTATTCTAAAATTATTAAATTATAAATGATATTTATACAATCAGAATTTAGCAACAAGAAGTCCAAAAATTTATTAATTTTCTTGTTAGCTTTTTTTTTGTTGATGTTAAAATATAATCAAAAGCACATGTTTCACATTTAAAGTGAAACATTACATTAACTACAATTAGAAGGACATTAAGGAAGACCTTATTAACTATCACTACTAAGGTAATATTTAGTATCACACAATGTGCAGTTAGTTGCTGAAGATGATGTATTGTTTTCTATACTTTAAGCACAGCCATGAGTACATAATCTATTTTCTAATTTAATTCCAGCATCATATCATCCACAAATAATTAAGCTTACTGATAATATTTATCATTTGTTGAGTATCTGTTATGTTGATAATTAATGATATAAATAATAGTAAATAGAAAAGCTGATGAGAAAAATAATTATAAAACCTAATTAATATTTTAATAAATTTTGGTTATACCCAATTTAATGTAGTTGATAGTCATCTTTGAAATAATACTGATTATATTTCTATTTTATTATTTAATGAATTGCTTTAAAAGTTTATAGTTAAATATTTTGGTTTTAAAATTTACATTAATAAATATCTAATATAAATAATGTATAATATTATTCTTGTAAAT